TAGCTAACCATGTTCCAGGGGTAATAATAGGAGCAGCCCTTTCTGAAGTGAGGTGATGAACCAGATGACCTCTACAGTGTTTCACAATTAATGGTTAATACGTGGCTGGTATGTTATATGCCCTGTGCGTGCACGCACACACACACACACACACACACTTAACTGGAAAATACTTGTGGTATTTATTCTTATTATTTTTTTGCAAATTGAATAGGTATTTTACTGGCATATCTAGGCCATTTGTTTCAAAAAGTCATCTTTAAGTGACGTGAAGAATAATTAAAAATATATATTTATAGAGTAGTATTGCTACTAACAAATTCTTTTAAATTTTTGTTTTAAAATGTAACATGCTTTAAATTTGACAAAAGCTCATAAAAATAGAAAAATCCCGTTTTAGCTGACCTAGCATATCTAAACACAATGGGGTGCCTTCTTAATTACTTCCTTTAATATGCTGAGCTTAGTTTCAGAATTCATTAGAGATCAGACTTCCAGAAGAATTTCCTGTTTGTTTTGGCTAAATTATTATTGGTGAATTTTAGAGAAAAAATAGAACATATCAATTGATTATTCTTTGGAAAGTATGAAATGAAAATACAAGAAAGAAAATGTATCTGCACAGAATCTAGCTATAGAAACAACAGATGATCAGAGCACATCTCAGAAAACACTAGTGAAATTCAACTCTCATTGGCCGGTATTAGTAATGACCGGCAGCATATGGGTTTGTTCAAAGCAACTAGAAACATATTTACTCCTTCCTTCTTAGGTTACCAGATGGCCCCAAAGAAAGGATATGATTTTTCTCCAATTTTACTTATCCAGAAAATAAAGATCTTAAATTGAATGTATTCTAGCTTTCATGATTTCCTTGTGATTGAGCACACCCACAAAATGATGTTATATAAAGAAAACTTTAACCCTTTAGGAACCAATCTAAGCATGAAGTCACTCAAAGACATTCAAAGAGGTGCTTTGTGTGGTGTTCCCTGGTACTGATAGGAAACATGAGTTTATTAGGAAGAATGACAAAACAGGCTCTTTGTTCTCAAGAAAATTGCAGCAGGGTGTGTGTGTGTGTGTGTGTGTGTGTGTGTGGTGTGAGGGAGCTGGTGAGTGGCTGTATTACTGACCATGTGGTGGCCACATGCTTCTCTGGTTAACAGAATCAGAAAACATTTCTTAGGTCTACACATTTCCTAGGATTTGGTTCTTCAAGTACAGATTCCATTATCCAAATACTGATAATGGCCATACTATTTTAAAAATCATTGTATTCTGGAGTGATGTTTAAATTCAACAACCCATGCTATTGGTGCTAGTTAGTCCAACTGATTAGGGAAATTTTTTAATGAGTACTAAATTGGAATTACACATTAATATTTTAGTCCCTAGTCAAATGGCTCTTTTTAGGACATGCTACAAATAACAAAGGGGGTAGGATGAGAGGGTGAGGATGAACTGGAAGATCTAGCAACATCCTTAGAGATCAATGAATATATCACATCTGCTTAAATATTTAAAATGTGGGTGGGTTTAGGTGGTGCATGCTTCAAAATAACCATCTCCTATGGAAAGACATATGTGGCCATAAATCTAGAACTGTGCCTGACTCACACACACAAGATTAAACTTGATTTAATGCTGAATATTTAAGGAGCTATTACATTCTTAGGAAATATTCTTTATTACTTCATTCAAATATTGAATATTCACTGAAATAAACTGAAGAGCAATAGAATATATAAGGCTTGCTTTTTCTAAATGCTTCCATTATGATGCAAACTAATTTCTTGGGGGCAAAAGTTTTGTTTTGTTTTGTTTTTAAGACAAAACTAAAAAAATTTAGAAACCTGAAAAATGTAAATTTTCCTAAAATACTTTTATTTAATTACGTAACTATTCATAAATGACATTCACAATTAAAAAACAGCTGACTGAATCTTTCCACCTACATAAAACTAACTTAAAAAGTAAACTTTTAGAAACTAAGACATCTTAACATAATCCTTATAATTCTCATAAATTAAATAAAAATTTTTAACTGTTCCTCCAGTAGCTTTTACTTTCCAGTCTCAAAAATTCATTCTAATACCAATAAAAAACAGACCCCAAATTATACAATTTAATAATTTAAGGTATTTTTAAATGCCCCAAAACAACTCTCAAAAAAAAGTAGTTTTAATGATTTCCTTTACTAAAGATATTTTCTTATTGAAAAAGATGTTCTGAAAAAAAAAAGGTATTCTGTTTACTACTAAATACTAGCTTATAAATTGATATGGAAAATCTGAAAAAGTGATCCAAGGGTCACAAATATTTATTGAGCATCTGCTATGCACTTAGTGCCCAGAACGAAAGAATATAAGGAACATAATAGAGGGAGAACAAAACATACTCCCTCTCCTTCAAGGAGCTGATGGTGCCAGAAAGGGTCTCCAACAACATTAATACAAGATAAACAGACACATGCCAAAGCAAAGCAGGAAGGGAATTAAAGGGTAAAAGTGGAGATTTTTTTCTACTTGGGAGAATTAAAGACAGTTCATAGGGTTAGAATCACTTGAGCTAGGGTTTATAAGGGTAATAGGAATATTTGGTTGTGAAAAGATGGACAGGAAGAAGAGCAAGTTGATGGAAATACTGAGATCCAAGACATGGAGTTGGGAAAGCAGAGATTGTATATTGGGAATGGTAAAGTCTAAGCTCTTTAGTGTGTCAAAGAGGCCCTCTGTTTCCTGACTAAAGCTCCCATCCTCAGACTCATCTGTTCTTATTCCCTACTTGCAAATTCTCTCTGTTCCCTGAGCTTGGAATGCCCTTTCTCCCATTCTCTCTACTACACTGTAGGTAGTCTATTAAGTATGCAATAGCATTCTGTCTAAAAAAACAATGTACATACCTTAATTAAAAAATAATTTATTGCTAAAAATTGCTAACCATCACCTGAGCTTTCAATGAATCCTAATCTTTTTGCTGGTGGAGGGCCTTGGCTTGATGTTGATGGCTGTCGACTGATCAAGGTGGTGGCTGCTGAAGGTCAGGGTGGCTGTGGCACTTACTTAAAATAAGACAACAATGAAGTCTACCACATGTATTGACTCTTCCTTTCACGAACCATTTCTCTGTAGCTTGCGATGATGTTTGATAGCATTTTACCCACAGTAGAACTTCTTTCAAAATTGGATCAGCTCTCTCAAACCCTACCCCTGCTTTATCAACTAAATTTACATAATATTCTAAATCCTTTATTGTCATTTCAATAATCTTCACAGCCTCTTCACCAGGAGTAGATTCCATCTGAAAAAACCATTTTCTTTGCTCATCTATAAGAAGTAACTCACCTGTGAAAGTTTGATCATGAGCTTGCAGCAATTCAGTCACATCTTCAGGCTCCACATCTAATTCTAGTTCTCTCACTATTCCCACCACATCTGCAGTGACTTCCTCCATTAAAGTCTTGAACTCCTCTAAGTCATCCATGAGAACTGTAATCAACTTCTTCCAAAGTCCTCATAATGTTGATATTTTTGACCTCTTCCCATGAATCACAAATGTGTTTAATGGCATCTAAAATGGTGAGTCTTTTCCAGAAGGTGTTAGTTTACTTTGCCCAGATCCATCAGAGGAGTCACTATCTATGACAGCTACAGCTTTATGAAATGTATTTCTTAAATGTTAAGACTTAAAAGTCTAATACTCCTTGCTCCATGGGCTACATAATGGAAGTTGTGTTAGCAGGCATGAGAACATTAATCTCATTGTTCATCAGATCTCCTAGGTGACCAGGTGCATTGTCAATGAGCAATTAAAGCACTTTTTTCTGAACAATGGGTCTCAACAGTGGGCTTAAAATATTCAGTCAACCATGTTGTAAACAGATGTGCTGTCATCCAGATTTTGTTGTTCCATTGTAGAGCACAGGCAGAGTAAATTTAGTATAATTCTTAAGGGTTCCAGGCATTTCAGAATGGCAAATGAGCATTGGCTTCAACTTAACATCACCAGCTGCATTAGCCCCTAACAAGAGAGTCAGCCTGTCCTTCGAAGCTTTGAAGCCAGGCACTGACTTCTTCTTTCTAGCTCTAAAAGTCTTAGATGGAATCTTCTTCTAATAGAAATCTGTTCCATTTACACTGAAAATCTATTGTTTAGGGGCACCTGAGTGGCTCAGTCATTAGGCGTCTGCCTTCGGCTCAGGTCATGATCCTAGGGTCCTGGGATCGAGCCTCACATCGGGCTCCCTGCTCCGCGGGGAGCCTGCTTCTCCCTCTCCCACTCCCTCTGCTTGTGTTCCCTCTCTCACTGTCTCTCTCTGTAAAATAAATAAATAAAATCTTTAAAAAAAAAAAAAAGAAAATCTATCGTTTAGTGAGGCCACCTTCATGAATTATCTTAGCTGGATCTTCTGGAGAACTTGCTACAGCTTCTCCATCAGCACCTGCTGCTTCATCTTGGACTTCATGTCATAGAGCTGGCTTCTTTCCTTAAACCTCATGAACCAACCTATGCTGGCTTCCAACATTTCCTCTGCAGCTTCCTCATCTTTCTTAGCCTTCATAGAATTGAAAAAAGTTAGGGCCTTGCCCTGGATTAGGCTTTGGCTTAATGGAATGTTGTAGCTGGTTTGATCTTCTATCCAGACCACTCAAACTTTCTCCATATCAGCAATAAGACTGTTTCCCTTTCTTATCATTCATGTATTCCCTGGGGTATCACTTTTAATTTCCTTCAAGAACTTCTCCTTTGCCTTCACAACTCGGTCAACTATTTGGCACAGGAGGCCTAACTTTCAGCCTATCTTGGCTTTTGATATGCCTTCCTCACTAAGCTGAATCATTTCTAGCTTTTGATTTAAAGTGAGAGGCAGGCAACTCTTCTTTTCACGTGAACACTTAGAGGTCATTGTAGGGTTGTTAATCGGCCTAGTTTCAACACTGCTGTGTCTCAGGGAAGAAAGAGGCCCAAGGAGAGGAAGAAAGACAGGGTAATGGCAGTCAGAACACACACAACATTTATTAAGTTTGTTGTCTTATATGGGCACGGTCTGTGATACCCCAACATGATTACAATGGTAACGTCAAAGATCACTGATCACAGATCTCCCTAACAAATATAACATTAATGAAAAAGTTTGAAATATTGCAAGAATTACCAAAATGTGACACAGAAACACAAAGTGAGCATGTGGTCTTGGAAAAATGGCACCCACAGACTTGCTGGACACAGGGTTGCTACAAACGTTCAATTTGTAAAAAACGCAATATCTGCAAAGTGCAATAAAGTACAGCACAGTAAAACAAGGTATGCCTGTAAAAGGGAATATTTAAAATCTTTGAGGGAGACTTACCAGACTCATTGGATTTAGTGACTGTGGAAGGGTCAGTGAATACTGAGGTTTGTAACTTGGGTAAGTAGGAAAATGCTAGTATCATTGACATTGATAGGAAAGAAACTAGAAGGTACTGGCTTGGAAGAAGAGAAGGCAGATTCACTCAAAAGGTATTTGTGTAGTACCTACTCTGTGCTAAGCACCAGCCCAGGCCCCGGACCACAGATATGAAAGACACCATCTATTTTCTAAGGAACCTCAAGTCTTCACTCACTCATCAGTTTCCTTACTATCCAATTAACATTTCTGAAGCACATATTAGGGCAAAATTAAATAAGAAACCATCCTTGTCTTCAAGGAGTTCCTAGGTTGGTAGGGAAGACAGTCACCTATAAAAATGATCACCAAATTTAAAGTGCTGTAAAAGAAACACACCAGAATGTTTTAGATTTTATTATTTTAAATTTAGAGAGTGGTAGTGGACCAGCCAGGTGGAATTATCTGTCAGGTAACTAATAGTCTGGCCTGAAGTTGAAGAGTGGCGTTATGACTAGGAATGTTGGTAGATTTGAGGATCATTCACTTGGTTGTGAAGAAGGCCAACGACACTGAGTAGAGGGTGGCTGACACCTGCATTCAGTGTATGGCAAAGGGAGGAGGAAAAGGAGCTCCAAAGACGGGATAGCCAGAGTCCTGGACATATACAAGTAGGGGAAATATGGAACTACTAAAAGGGAGTGCAGGAAAATGAAGACCCTCATCTTGTGTGGCTGGCCCTACTCTTATTGGGACCAATCAAGTGGCAAGCTGAAGAAAAGTGGGGAGTAATGATCTTTAATAAGTGATTTATCAAGGATCTAATTCTGTAAAGAAATCCAAGGAATTTGAAGAGTGAGTGGTCTGGCAACTGGCCATTGAAGTAACCTTCAGGAGAGCAGAATTAGGAGAGTGGAAATTACCTTATGAGGGTTTTAGGAGCCAGTAGATGGTAAAGAAATAGAACCAGTGAGTGCTTAAAATGCTTTATAGACACTGGGCCCTATGTGGAAGAAATGAAGTAGAATGTTAATTTAAGGGCTAAGTAGTAGGTTTAAGAGTTCTGTCTTTGCTTTTATTTGATCTTTGGGACAGAAAAACTCAAGTACTTTTCTAAGGCGAGGAAAGGACTGGCAAGGCATTAAGATGCAAGAGACAGAGACAGAGTTGGGGATGGGGTGGGGTGTGAGGGGATGGGAAGGGACCGAAGGCTTGGGTGGAGCTATTGTGATCCTTGGAAAGGGGTGAAAAATTCCTTTTTCTGAGGGGGCAGGAAGGAGAACAGGGTGGGCACAGAGAGAGGAGTAAAGGGAAGAAGGAGGGAATTTGAGTAAGTTTTTGTTGAGTGAAGAGTCTGAGGAAACAAGAAGATGAACTGAGGGTGGTAACTGAGTGGTTTTGAGAAGAACAGAAATAGTTTGGGACAGTCGCTAGTGGAAATGCAGCTGGGAGTCAACTAGAGATCACTCACTACAAGTATTGTCAGTCCTGCGTGTGTTGTGGGAATTTTGTGCAGGACTGTTGTGTGCATTGTAGGAAGCTTAGCATCACTGGCTTCCATCCATTCAATGCCAGGATTGCTCCCCTGTCATTGTGATAACCAAGGAAATAACCCGATTCTTTTCTAAATGCCCTGGGTTGAGAATCACTTAGCCCGACACTGCAGCAGAATCAAATCACACTAGTATATAGCTTTCCCAAGTAACACTTAGGAACCTGAGATCAGAGGTCAGTAGTTTTAAAAGCTTTGAGAAGGAGACAGTGAAAGAAATGTTACTAGATTATTTTCCTCCATTGGTTGAGAATGTTTATATCATCCCTAATCCAACCTCAGTAGATTTGGTTCCAGTAAGAGCAATTGCTAAAGACATATAGCATTTTAAAGCCAAGTACAGTTGCACAGGAGATTATTGCCGATTCAGAGACATTTTTATAGGCAATGTATGTCTAAACCCTGATCCAAAGTCTGGGGTTTTATAAGCCTGGCCCTTGGCCCAGAATGTAGGGGTAAGGAGGAACTGGAGTAAAAGTCCCATGAAGGAGACTAGGCTAAAAGGAAATCAGAGGACTTAGCTTCTGAGCGAGCTTCTGCTGAGGTCTCTGGGCAGAGCAATACTGTCCCACATAAACATGGCTCAGGTCCTGGGAGTTTGAAGATACAGCTGCTGATTTGCCTCAGTAGTCTTAGAAATACCAACACAGTAGCAAAGCTGTCTATGGAAGACTTGTACCTGTCCAGACAGAGAAAAGGCAAGTTAAATATAGCTAATCAAAATAATTGACAGGAACTGATACATAGTACTATTTCAGAGCTAGAACTCAGCTTATCTGGCTGTCTTCTGTTCCTTAAGAAATTCTCAGTATATCTTGCTAACTTCTCTGATCATGACCACAAGCTTCCCTGGGGAAGCCTAAGCTATTGGGTTGCAACCTGTTAATACTTTGGCCCTACTGTGACTCCATTCTACTGAGTCATGGCCTTCAATTAAACCTTGCCTGAATGATTCCTCAGGTGGCAATCCCAGCCCATTTCAAACACTCCCACTCAAAACACTGATGGTGATCTGTCTGGTTTTGGTCCCTGCCTGTTTTCCCAAAACTCTTGCATAAACCTTCTAACTGCAATGCCCTGCCTTCTGAACTTGTTTATCAAAGTATAGTGGCACTGATAATCTCCAAGAGCTATTGATCTCACATATCCAAACATCTAAAATAGGTCAAAGGTGGAGGCACCTGGGAGGCTCAGTTGGTTAAATGCCAGACTCTTGATCTCAGCTCAGGTTTTGATCTCAGGGTTTTCAATTCAAGCCCCACATTGGGCTCCATGCCAAGCGTGGAACCTACTTAAAAAAAATAATAATAAAATAAAAAGGGTCAAACCTTTTCATAAGACCCACGCAAAGTTGGAAGGAGTGACAAATGGCTTTATTTGGGGGTGAAGGAGTGCCAAAAATAATGTAGAGCCTCACTGTTGCTTTTAGTCAGTCATAAAACACCAATGAATCAAAATAAAGAATGTGTTTAAGTAGGAACATATACCAAAATCAAAGACGAGAGAAAAGATTATTTATATAGTAGTAGGAGCTTCTATTATACCACCTTTAGCTTTGATTGTCCTGATTGTTGATTTGGGGTGGTAAATAAATACATCTAATTATGTATTGCAATCCTCTGGTCTTAGACTGTTAAGGTATATGAATTTCTAAAAGTCCGTTATCAGAAAATGAATAGAAGTTGGGGGGAGGTGCAAGATGGCAGAGAAGTAGGAGACCTAAATTTCGTCTGGTCCCAGGAATACAGCTAGATAGGGATCAAACCATTCAGAATACCTACAGACTTAACAGGAGATCGAAGAAAAGAATAGTAGCAACTCTCTGAACAGAAAAGTGACCACTTTCTGGAAGGCAGGACGTGTGGAGAAGTGAATCTGAGGCGATATTCAGGAAGATAGATGGGGGGGGAGGGGGCCTCCATCACCCACTACCGGCAAGTGATAGAGCAGTGGAGCACAAAATCGGAACTTTTAGAAGTCGGCTCCGCTGAGGGACGTCGCTCCAGTGGCTAGGCAGGAGGTAGAACCCTCGCTGGGACAGTGTGGTCTCAGGACCCTTGGGGTCACAGAAAGACCAGGAGTGCCTGAGTGCGGCAGAGCTCCCAGGTTTTTGAGCAGGGAAGCTGGCTGCAGAGACGGAGCCGAGGAATGGGCTCTCAGCTCGGGGTTGCCATAAACTGTGATCCCCAGCACAGGCAGTGTGGTGGAGACCAGGGAGACGGGAGTGATTGACTGCTTTTCTCTGGGGGTCACTGAGGAGTGGGGGCCCAAGATCCCAGCTCCGGAGTGGAGATTGGGAGGCTGTCATTTTCACTCTCGGCCTCCAAAGCTGTACAGAAAGCTTTCAGGGAAGAAAAGCTCCCAAGACCAAACCCGAGCAGATTACTTAGCCCGGACTGGGCAAGGGTGGGGCAATTCCGCCTCCAGCAAAGACATTTGAGAATCACGGCAACAGGCCCCTCCCCCAGAAGATCAGCAAGAACAGTCTGCCAAGACCAAGTTTACCAATCAAGGAGAACGGCAGAATGCCAGCACTAGGGGAATACACACATAGAATTCATGGCTTTTTCCCCATGATTCCTTAGTCTTTCAAAGTTAATTTTTTAAATTTTCTTTATTTTTTTTCTTTTTCTATTTTTTTAGTTGAATTTTTCTTCTTTCCTTTTTCAACCAGCATCTTATCAATTCCTTTTTAAAAATTCTTTTTAGGGGCGCCTGGGTGGCTCAGTCATTAAATGTCTGCCTTCGGCTCGGGTCATGGTCCCAGGGTCCTGGGATCGAGCCCCACGTCAGGCTCCCTGCTCCGTGGGAAGCCTGCTTCTCCCTCTCTTACTCATCCTGCTTGTGTTCCCTCTCTCGCTGTCTCTCTCTCTCTGTCAAATAATTGAATAAAAATCTTAAAAAAAATTTTTTTTTCTTTTAATTTTTCATTTTTACAGTCATATTCTATCTCTTCATTGT